GCGGCGGCGGCGGCGGCGGCGGCGGCGGCGGCGGGGGCGCGTCGCTGGGCGGCTCCGGCTCTGGCGCGGATCAGGTGCGGCGCTACCGCACGGCGTTCACCCGCGAACAGATCGCGCGCCTGGAGAAAGAGTTCTACAGGGAGAACTATGTGTCGCGGCCCCGCCGGTGTGAGCTGGCCGCTGCGCTCAACCTGCCCGAAACCACCATCAAGGTATCGATTCCAGCACGCGCCTTTTCTAGACTCCCCGGGGGGGGGGGGTGGTGGTGTCTGGGTTGGTTTTTGTTTCTCCTTTCTCTTTCCTGGGTGGCCACATTTAGCTGAGGGCCTGAAAATCTGCGGGGTAGAGTCACCAACGGAACTGGTGTATTTGTTTCTCAGCTGCCGCATCCGAAGGGTTGGCCGGCCTGGCTGACCTGGGAAGCCCGGGGAATGGCGGAGCTGATGCCGGAAGCACTGGCCTCTGTTCAATTTTGCCCAGCCGCCTGCCCAGGTGCCCCTAGCCCATGTCCACGGCCCCACTTTCCCCTCGGCGGCAAAGCCGGCTGGTCTTTGTTCCTCTGGCACGAACCCTAGGTGAAACTTTTCATCTGCTCTTGATCTTGGAGATTTATTTTCCACATAAATCGTTACAACATGGAGGAAGGAATACTGTATTTTAAAAATCGATTGGGTTCAGAAAGTAGTTTCCTAAACATTTTTTCTCCTGGGCAGCAGGAAAAAAGCAACCTCCTGGGGAAGGGAGACTACAACGAAATTGTCCTTACTTATATATCTCGAAGTGATTAATTTTATTAACCTGGGAGCGATAGCTGGGAGGTTGGGCGATTTGGCGAACGCTTGGCGGAGGATCTCACACTCTAGAAAAAGCAAAGAGGAAGCTCCAACGGATAAGGGAGGTTGTGGAAGTCTCCCTTTGGTTTGATCGGGCTTTCTTTAATTTAGAGTTGTGACGAGTGATGTCTTCATTAGACTGTCTTGGGAGGGGTATAACAGTCCCTTTCCCAGTTTAAGAGGATGTTGTTCCCGCCACTCACTTGAGGCAAACGATTCCAACAAAAATCATCCCTTCAGTATCAAAATCGTACCCGTGCCCTTGGGGCAGGCCCTTGCAGCTCAGAGGACTCAAGACCTCGAGCGGCGACCTTTTAGAAAAGCTGCCGCGGTAGCCCCTCTTCAACGGTGGCCTAGAATCCCGTGCAAATCCTGGGATTGAGAGAGACCGGTGCTCAGCAAGGCTGGGCACCAGTGGGTGGCGGGAAGGAGAGGGAAGGTTGCGTTGGGAACCGTAAAACGCAGCGCAGAGTAAGGGAGCAGGAGCCGCAGCAGTCGGACACAGCGCAGATTATTTTTGCTGAGGAAGGTTGCCCACTCCTGTTCCCACTGCCTCCCTCACTGCCAGCTGGGAGAATAGGGGGTCTCCAAACTGGGTCGGGTCGAAGGGGAGTAGGTCAGGCCTTTCGGAGGTCCGAGAAGGGTGCAGAGGCCCAGGGAGGGGGCTGAGGCCTCAGGGCACTCCCTAACTCGGGCCGCGGTGCGGCGGCTCTCCCTTCAGGTGTGGTTCCAGAACCGGCGCATGAAGGACAAGCGGCAGCGCCTGGCTATGTCGTGGCCGCACCCGGCCGACCCCAGCTTCTACACCTACATGATGACGCACGCGGCCGCCACCGGAAGCCTGCCCTACCCCTTCCACTCGCACGTGCCGCTGCACTATTACCCGCACGTGGGTGTCACGGCTGCGGCCGCGGCGGCTGCGGCCTCCGGCGCAGCGGCCGCGGCCTCGTCGCCCTTCGCCACTTCCATCCGCCCGCTGGACACCTTCCGTGCCCTCTCGCACCCCTACTCCCGGCCGGAGCTGCTGTGCAGCTTCCGCCACCCGGGCCTCTACCAGACGCCCGCGGCCGCCGCGGGGCTCAACAGCGCGGCCTCGGCCGCCGCGGCTGCAGC